CACCATGCCTGGCTAATTTTTTCTATATATATTAGTTGGCCAATTAATTTCTTTCTATTTATAGTAGAGACGGGGTATCGCTCTTGCTCAGGCTGTTTTTGAATTCCTGACCTCAAGCAATCCGCCCGCCTCGGCCTCCTCAAGAGCTAGGATTACAGGCGTGAGCCACCACGCCTGGCAGCAATTACTTTTAAAAAGACACTCACTGTATCTCAGATCTCTTGAGAAACTGATTTCACGAAAACCAGTTTTGTAACAGCAGAAAGTTTCAATGACGATTCATGGCTTTTAATGTGTTAGGCAAATATAAACTTTTACCATACCTTTTGGAGGCTGCAGAAGCCTGGAATTCTCAAACAAATGCTTCTTTTTGATAGGTAAAATGACTGTGTCTTTCAGATCTGTAATAACATCATCTAAACCTGCTATATCACTCCAAGTAACCTAGTAAAAGTTAAGGTAACATGAATTTTACTACAAATATACACTCAATAAAGTAAATGTAATCCCCCCAAAATAGAACACTCACATACAAAATGGCAAACCTTAATCATAAAATTATACATAAATAATAAAAGGTTAAAATTATATATCAATACGAGTAGACTTTTCACAGTAATAATGAAATTAATAAACTGCTATAATACTGGAAAAAGGAGTTTAATAGTCATTATTAAAAAAAAGTTACATACTCAAAAATCTGCAAGGGTCTAATAAGCTGAATTCATTCCATTTATGAGGAGCAAATACTCTGCCACAAAAAGACTGAGAACCAGCTCAGACAGATAATTTAGCATTGGCTGACTGATAAGAGCTCACCAGAAATGTACCTACTTCATATAGGATGCTGTCAAACATCATAGAAATTAATTTTAGAAGGTCTATATCTTACATTACCTACCAAACTGGACTTCCAAATTTTATTTGTCAAAAGTAAAACTATCAAAACTTAATGAGGTACCTTTATAAATAATATTAAGTATACATATTTCAAAATAGATGAGGAAAATCTTCTGATTCAACTTTAAAAGTTTTTTTTTTTTTTTTTTTACCTGATCTGGGCTTAGATAATCATTCAAAAATTCTTTCCCATTCAAACTTTTCTTTGGAAAAAAAATCACAATAAATGACATGCATTTTGTTAGGGGAAATATAAGCGAGCTTTATTGTTTCAAAAATAACAAGAAATACATAATAATACCTTTGTTGTTAGGTTAATAAAAAGAACATGGCATTTTTGTGATAATTTTCATCTCTCATTTAGCAGAAACAAAGTTACCTACTCATAAAAATGCATAGTATTAATATATGCTTCAATGCCTTTGATATATAAAATAATGCACCTTTCTCATATGGTTGCAAAATTATTAAGATTATAAGCAATTACAATTTATACAGACATACTGCTATTTGATGTTTTTAAAGATCCACCTTTTTGAAAAATGAATGCGACTAGTAATTTGACTTGTCTTTTTGTTTTTGAGACAGGCCTCACTCTGTTCCGCGGCGGAGACAGTGGCATCATCATACCTTAATGCAAACTCAAATTCCTGGGTTCAAGTGATCCTCTTGCTTCAGCCTCCCAAGTAGCTAGGAGCATACCACCAAGCCTGGCTAACTTTTATTTTCATAGAGATGGGGTCTTGCTATGTTGCCCAGGCTGGTCTCAAACTCCTGGCCTCAAAGGATCTCCTGCCTCAGCCTTCCAAAGTGCTGGGATTCTCAGGCGTGAACCACCGGGCCCAGCCTGAGTTCAGTCTTGATTAGCAACATAAATCAAACCATCCTAGTTTTGACAATGCACTAATAGGAGCTTCTGCTATATGGAACTAAATAGGTTATCTGTAGTTAGTATCTGATAGTCATGGTAACACTATCTACCTGTCTCTGTAATTACCAAGTAATCTCCACCTGAATCACCTTAACAAGTCTAAGCATGATTAATATTTGCATGAATAAGAATAAAAGAATCACACTGCAGTTATAAATACTCAAGTTCCAAGACTTTCTAGGTGATTATGAATAAGGAAAAGTTTCTCCAAAGTGGAGTAGTATTAATTTCCAGTTCATCTGCAGTTCAATACTTCCTGTAAATAGAAATGACTACCATCTAAAAATAATTAAGATCACCTCTAGTGAAAAAAATTCACTGAGTTTGAAACAACAAAGGATATTTCAGCTTTAAAAATATATACTGTCACTTGGATTTTTTTAATCTCAATTTCCAAAGTTTAATTTACTTGAAATAATAGAAACACGTTTGAAACAAGGAGATTATTTGGACATCTAAATACAGGGAACAATTTATCATAATTCAAAAACTAAAGAATGAGCATTACTTTTATTTTATTTTTTTAGAGACAGAGTCTCACTTTGTTGCCCAGGCTACAGTGAGTGCCGTGGTGTCGCCTAGCTCACAGCAACCTCAAACTCCTGGGCTCAGAAATCCTCCTGCCTCAGCATCCCGAGTAGCTGGGACTACAGGCATGCGCCTAAAGTCATTTAATTTAAAACTGAACACATATGGGATAACTGCAGTTGCTTGGAATTATTATTACATTTTATCATTTTGATCATATTATTTAATGTGGAATATACATCTCCTAGCAAACTTTTAGAAACGTATTACTTAAATCTCAGGGTTTTTAAAACAGTATTGATACAAAAGTCTCCATATTTTGTTGACTTTGCAGCTATACTATTACTTTATAAATGTATGCAGTATTTGTAGAATGTCATATTTGTTTCAAATTATTCACTTATCACTTTAAATATTTTATTCCTAGTTGAGTTTTGGTACTTCTTAGCAGGATTTTTTCCAAATATTTCTCTTTGAAGACTATGATAAATATTATTAATTGAGCAATTACTAGTGTTGGAAGATTCAACATGCAACGAAAGCTTCTGCATCTCGTAACTTTCTGAGGTTAGAGCTAAGGTGCACGAGGAGCTGTTATTATTCCCTTCTTGACCTCAGTTACATGAGCGTCTGCTTTATAATCATTCAGTAAACAATTTTGTCCCCATTCCTGTTTGTATGTTAAATTTCACTAAAATTCATGTTGTCTCATCCAATACATTACCAGTGAGTCTAGCAATAATACTATTTAACGTGGCACCTTTTCTATACCTTTTCCCAAAATGGTCCCCACAGTGTTAGTATTTATGAAGGGTGATAAATGAATGATTCTTAAAATTAATGTTAGATGTTTGGCTTTAATTATTAGTTTTGCAACCTTTTACCTAGTTTCTTGAGCTTAATCTGATACTATTATGACCAATTTCAACAAATAAAAAACATGCTTATTATTCTGTATTTTGTAGAAGCCTAAAAACTCAAACCCCTTTTTAAGAGGGATGTTTTCAGTAAGGGCTTTACTTAATAAGTGGTGCACACAAATTAAAGATTTAAGATGAGGAAGAAAAGCAGTACTACAACAAACACCAAATTTGAGATAATCCTCATTAGTGATAATATACTGACCTTACTAGTGACCAACTTTTCTTTCTTTTTCTTTTGGACAACTGCTTATTGACTTTAACATAAAATTTGCCCAAATGGTACAAAAATATCTATAAAATATCTATAAAAATTAAATCTATTTAACTATAAGTACATAGGGAGAATGTAGGCCTTTACAGTATCAGATAATCAATTTTTCAAAAAATATTTTTCTTACGTTATCCACATTTTAAAGAATATACCAAAACATGGATGATGATAAAATTCTAAAATATAAAACTTATGTGCCAAAATAACAATTACTGAATTCAGAAAGCTTATAGAAGAAGCCATATAGTGTTTAGATGGAATTTGTTTTTTTGGAATTTTAACTGTTTTAAATTTTTAAATGTTTGGGGCAAATGGGGTTACTTTTTTATACACCAGCAATATCTTACAGCATGTCTCTGTCATCAATCAGTGGCATGACAATATGAATTAGCTCCAATTCCAACTTTATATCTTTACATGACCTCATCAGTTAAATATGATCTCATGCGCTGCATGAATAGTGCATAATGAGTCATTCTCAAATTATCTTTATGTAGTCCATGTGAGGCAATGATCTGGTTAGATGGCAATGAACTGTTTAAAGATAACAAAATTGTCAATAAAGCAATCACTCTAACCTAGGTAACCTATTTCCAGGCCCAAAATGGAATAGATATGGTACATAACTGATTTTATACTCTGCTTCTATATACTAATATCCAATTTATGTTGAGGGTCAAAAAGTAAATCAATGATTTTCAAAGTGTTGCACTTTTTCTTTTTTTTGAGACAGAGTTTTGCTCTGTTACTCAGGCTGGAGTGCAGTGGCACAATCATAGCTCACTGCAGCCTTGCACTCCTAGACTCAAGCGATCCTCCCATCTCAGCCTTCCAAGTAGGATTACAGGCGCATGCCACAACACCAACTAATTATTTTATTTTTTGTAGAGACAGGGTCTTGCTATATTGCTCAGGCTGGTCTTGAACTCCTAGCCTCAAGTGATCCTCCCATCTTGGCCTCCCCAAGTGCAGGGATTGCAGGTATGAGCCACCATGTGTAGCCAAAGTGTTGTTCTTGATATAAAATTTTCCAAAAATGTAAAGCTTCTAGTTCAAATAGCCAAACATTAGATTATATAATGAGAAAATATTCACATAACTTTTAAATTGGATGATGCTTTCAAATAAGCAGCAGACTTACACATAACTTTTGAAGTATCTCCTCCATTCTTTGGTATCCACTATGCTAACTGGGGCTTTGAACCAAGTCCAACTGGTAAAGTCACCCAATTTTACCTGGACTAGGACATCATTGATGAAAAAAGGAGCATTTTCTAATAGTATATAAGGAACACTTTATTTTCCTAAATTCAAACTGCGAACTGAAAATGCAGAAAAGTTCTTTTTGTCAGACTCCAAATAACCTAGAAGAGGGTAGTAAAGAAACTTAACTACATAATCCAACTTTTACCTGATCTGGGCTTAGATAATCATTCAAAAATTCTTTCCCATTCAAACTTTTCTTTGGAAAAAAAAATCACAATAAATGACATGCATTTTGTTAGGGGAAAATATAAGCAGCTTTATTGTTTCAAAAAATAACAAGAAATACATAATAAATACCTTTGTTGTTAGCGTTAATAAAAAGAACATGGCATTTTTGTTGATAATTTTCATCCTCCATTTAGCAGAAACAAAAGTTACCTACTCATAAAAATGCATAGGTATTAATATATGCTTCAATTGCCTTTGATATATAAAATAATGCACCTTTCTCATATGGTTGCAAAATTATTGATTATAAGCAATTACAATTTATACAGACATACTGCTATTTTGATGTTTTTAAAGATCCACCTTTTTGAAAAATGAATGCGACTAGTAATTTGACTTGTCTTTTTGTTTTTGAGACAGGCCTCACTCTGTTGCCCGGGCGGGAGAACAGTGGCATCATCATACCTTAATGCAAACTCAAATTCCTGGGTTCAAGTGATCCTCTTGCTTCAGCCTCCCAAGTAGCTAGGAGCATACCACCAAGCCTGGCTAATCTTTTATTTTTCATAGAGATGGGGTCTTGCTATGTTGCCCAGGCTGGTCTCAAACTCCTGGCCTCAAAGGATTCTCCTGCCTCAGCCTTCCAAAGTGCTGGGATTTCAGGCGTGAACCACCGGGCCCAGCCTGAGTTCAGTCTTGATTAGCAACATAAATCAAACTCATCCTAGTTTTGACAATGCACTAAATAGGAGCTTCTGCTATATGGAACTAAATAGGTTATCTGTAGTTAGTATCTGATAGTCATGGTAACACATATCTACCTGTCTCACTGTAAATTACCAAGTAATCTCCACCTGAATCACCTTAACAAGTCTAAGCATGATTAATATTTGCATGAATAAGAATAAAAGAATCACACTGCAGTTATAAATACTCAAGTTCCAAGACTTTCAAGGTGATTATGAATAAGGAAAAGTTTCTCGCAAAGTGGAGTAGTATTTAATTTCCAGTTCATCTGCAGTTCAATACTTCCTGTAAATAAGAATGACTACCATCTAAAAATAATTAAGATCACTCTAGTGAAAAAAAATTCACTAGAGTTTTGAAACAACAAAAGGATATTTCAGCTTTAAAAAATATATACTGTCACTTTGGATTTTTTTAATCTCAATTTCCCAAAGTTTAATTTACTTGGAAATAATAGAAACACGTTTGAAACAAGGAGATTATTTTGACATCTAAATACAGGGAACAATTTATCTAAATTTCAAAAACTAAAGAATGAGCAATTACTTTTATTTTATTTTTTTAGAGACAGAGTCTCACTTTGTTGCCCAGGCTACAGTGAGTGCCGTGGTGTCAGCCTAGCTCACAGCAACCTCAAACTCCTGGGCTCAAGCAATCCTCCTGCCTCAGCATCCCGAGTAGCTGGGACTACAGGCATGCGCCACCATGCCTGGCTAATTTTTTCTATATATATTAGTTGGCCAATTAATTTCTTTCTATTTATAGTAGAGACGGGGTATCGCTCTTGCTCAGGCTGTTTTTGAATTCCTGACCTCAAGCAATCCGCCCGCCTCGGCCTCCTCAAGAGCTAGGATTACAGGCGTGAGCCACCACGCCTGGCAGCAATTACTTTTAAAAAGACACTCACTGTATCTCAGATCTCTTGAGAAACTGATTTCACGAAAACCAGTTTTGTAACAGCAGAAAGTTTCAATGACGATTCATGGCTTTTAATGTGTTAGGCAAATATAAACTTTTACCATACCTTTTGGAGGCTGCAGAAGCCTGGAATTCTCAAACAAATGCTTCTTTTTGATAGGTAAAATGACTGTGTCTTTCAGATCTGTAATAACATCATCTAAACCTGCTATATCACTCCAAGTAACCTAGTAAAAGTTAAGGTAACATGAATTTTACTACAAATATACACTCAATAAAGTAAATGTAATCCCCCCAAAATAGAACACTCACATACAAAATGGCAAACCTTAATCATAAAATTATACATAAATAATAAAAGGTTAAAATTATATATCAATACGAGTAGACTTTTCACAGTAATAATGAAATTAATAAACTGCTATAATACTGGAAAAAGGAGTTTAATAGTCATTATTAAAAAAAAGTTACATACTCAAAAATCTGCAAGGGTCTAATAAGCTGAATTCATTCCATTTATGAGGAGCAAATACTCTGCCACAAAAAGACTGAGAACCAGCTCAGACAGATAATTTAGCATTGGCTGACTGATAAGAGCTCACCAGAAATGTACCTACTTCATATAGGATGCTGTCAAACATCATAGAAATTAATTTTAGAAGGTCTATATCTTACATTACCTACCAAACTGGACTTCCAAATTTTATTTGTCAAAAGTAAAACTATCAAAACTTAATGAGGTACCTTTATAAATAATATTAAGTATACATATTTCAAAATAGATGAGGAAAATCTTCTGATTCAACTTTAAAAGTTTTTTTTTTTTTTTTTTGGAAATAAGCTAACTGAAAAGGACTTCAAAAAAAAAATCAACCTAGCTCTAAGCTGGCATGGTAAAGGAGTTAGAGGTGAGGCCAGTTACAAACAATAACTTTTAACTGAGCAGCACCTAAGTGGACACATAGGTACTACAGTAATAGGGTATTGGGCATGTGGGAGGGGGGTGGGTATATACATAATGAGTGAGATGTGCACCATCTGGGGGATGGTCATGCTGGAAACTCAGACTTGTGGGGGGAGGGGGAATGGGCATTTATTGAAACCTTAAAATCTGTACCCCCATAATATGCCGAAATAAAAAAAAAAAGAAACAATAACAAATACAAAAAATTTTTACAAAAAAACTTTACTTTCTTCACAGCTTAAAAAGAAAAAAAGGAAGATGAAAAGAGAAGGTACAAACTTTTCCAACTAAATATGAGGGGAAAAATCCTTTCATTGTAGCTGCAACAAAAAACTGAGTCTGTTAGTATAGACTTATTCAGAAATGAATATAGACAGGTCCCCAAGAAGGTATCGTTGTAAATTTATAAATCAAATTCAAAGGGAGGCTTAATTCTAGAGTGTGTATATGTCTCTGTATAAACAGATATTAAGAAACATTGTAGATTTTTGTTTTCTAGGTTTGGAGATTGGGATATTTCATTCTACTTATTTATGTCAAAATAACATTAACATATTATATAAATATATTTAATATTATATACAAAATATTCATATATGATCTTATACATTACATTAATCTGATCCTCAAAATAATTCTTATAAAGTAGGTAGAGAGGGTATTTTATTATCTCTGGATTATACATGAGGGAACTGAGACTCAAAGAGGAAATCATTTGCCACGGCCACGAATGGAAAAACTGGGACTTAGAATTCTAAGTCTATCGTACCATATAAAAGTCTAGATTTAAACTCCATAAAACAAACATCCACACAACTTAAAGCAGTATGTTTTACATATCACAAACGCATCTATACCAAACAAGTTTTCTAAACAAATGTATACAGAAAAGAGGTAACAGAGCAGACCTGAAGCTGGTATCCTCAGAAAAGCCTGCTGTATAAGGTTGGCCCTCAGCTGGCATCCGGGAACTTAGATTTCTAGAGTCTCACCATTCTCTGACAAGAATAGCTCAGTGTGCCTGAACTGTTTGCACAAACAATATGGTTTACCATGACTATCTGTTTTCCTTCTAGGAGTCTAGAATTTTGGTACATTTAAGGAAGAGGGAATCTATATAACCAGCCGCCAACAAAAACCCTCGGCACTAAGTCTCTTGTGAACTTCCCTAGTAGACAACATTGCACATGTGTTGTCACAACTTGCTGATGCAATAATTAAGCACATCCTGTGTGACTTCACTTGGAAAGGACTCTTGGAAGCTTGTACCTGGCTTCCTCCAGACTTCACCCTATATCCTTTTCCCTTTGCTGATTTTGCCTTACATCCTTTTAGTGTAGTAAATTATACATAGGAGTATGACCACATACTGAGTCCTGCAATTCCTTCAAGACAATCAATGAACCTGGTCGTGGTCTTCAGGACTCTTGACACAAAACATTAAACAATAACAACAAAAAAATTTTTAGAGGCTGGGAAAGGGTGGGGCAAAAAAGAATATAAATGTCTTTATTACCACTGAACTGTATACTTAAAAATGATAAAGAATAAATATTTTACATATATAAAAATTATATATGTGTATTTTACCACAATAAAAAAAACTTAAGATTAAAGATACATACATGCATATTAAGAGGGTCTACCAGATGAGCAGCAATACTCATTTCATATTCTGAGAGCTTCACATTTTTCACACCAATTTGCTTCATTAATTTTTCTGCCTAGAAAGAAAAGAACAAGCAATCTCTTTTGGTTTGATATTTAGATATTGGCACTTCAAAACAGATATATGTGAAGTGTAAATAGCAATTAATAGACATACAAGAATTTTCCAGGGATATTTTAGGCCACTTGATTTTATCCTTCCCCACTGTGAGCTCTTAGGTAAAGAAAAGATTGCCCACAGAAATCAGGGCAATTTAACCACCTCTTAGGAAACGAGAAAATAGGGTACATGATTGAAGAGATCATCATGTACCTTCCAGTAGGAACTCCTATTGCTTCAATGAGACTGCAGAATACACCTGGTTTCTCTTTCCTACTAGTATTATCATGACAGGTAAAGGTAAAACCTCAAGATGAAACAGGAGTGCAGGATACCAAGAAATGTATAATTGGAGTTTCCTTCCTTAAATTAACAGAGCTTTAAAAAAATGCATTTAAATAGAAAGTATCAAACAATCTGAGTATGTAATTATCTTTATATATTAGGTATAATCCCTTATTATAAATTTACATTAAAACTCTGGAAAACACCTTTTCTGGACATGTGCAGATAGCAATCTTCTCTTTTTAGGTTAGTGTTTTTAAATCTCTTTCCCATGGTTTCACCATATGTACTCTGAAAGTTCTTAGAGAAGATAACTTTGCACTATGGTACTCTTCTACTATCATGTGTATAAAACACTGCACTGAGTTTTTTCCTATCTAGTTTCTCTCTCCTATTGCTTTTCTTTATCACTTCTATCTACTGCCCTGCCTAAACAGGCAACACTAACTACTTGTTCCTTACTATCTATCTCAATTTTCTTATTTACTTCAGCTTCTCGGTCTTCTAAGATTCAGTTCCAATAAACCACAGCTTTAAAAGCCACTTAACTGGCAATGCAGTTCACAATGGCTTTCTGTAGTTAACAAATGTTGGACCTTCCAAATTGGCATTCTGTGATGGCTGCTCTTAAAAATATCTGGAAGTTACAGGCTTTTTAAGGTTTTAGTATATCATTAATTCACAATGTATTTCAGTTATTATTTTTCTCAAAATAACAGAAATGAAGTTTGGAAAACTACAGTGTTACAACAGGACTAAAAACAGGAAGACATTAAGTTAAAACTAAAATCACAGTATGTGACTTTCATGTGTATGAAAAACTGTGCACTCAATCTTTCCTGGCCCTTAACTAGTAAACCACAATTTCAAGAAAATTATATAGTCTAATTAATATGCTAAACAAAATATTGTATTTATAAGTTCCCAGACCAGACCGAGCATAAATTATTTATCCTGCATTTAAAACTCTTAAATAGAATACACATCTCAATTAACCTAACCCCTTTCATCACAAACATACCTGTCAAAAGCCCTCTCTCATTACCAATTAAATATTCTACTTCTCACAAACTGGAGGTTTTCCTGGCTTTAAGCTAGAAATTTACAAATATCCCATTTAATCCAGTATAAAATGATTTCTAGGATACTGTTCCTGATTTGGAAGCAATTATGTCATCTTTTACCTTTCATCTCAAAACTGTATTATTAATAAAATCACGAGGCCCACTGATTATCTGGTAACCTCTTAAGTGTTCTGTCTATATCCAAGCTTTTAGATTGAGTGCTCTTCCTATTTGACCACAGAAGTCATACCCTCCCCTCCTCCCACATTCACACCTCATCTCTTCCCTTAAATGTGCACTCTAATTCTTTCACTTCTTTCTATTCTCCAACTAAATTATTCCAGATCTGGCGATACTGACTTCCTAATGGCCAGGACCACAGAGTCATTATTTCAGTGATACCCTCCTTAGAACTCCTTACATTTCTTGTTATACTATATACTAGTTAGCCTCATCCCCAATGCTTGTTCAGCACTACCATTCACTCTATCTGCCAACTTGGTGAATAATGCTTCAGAGTAAAAACAAAACAATCAAATTCCCAATACACTCACACTTTCTTCAACCAAACTCCAAAGTTCCATAATCCACAATGACTTAATCTCACTAAACACTAATCACACATTTACCTCAGCAGGCCCCTGACTTCTTCCATTCCATTCATTTTTAGTCACAATTTCTCTCATTCATTTTACTGAAAATAAAATGCTCCACCTTAAAATGCTCCTCTAACTACTGATCCCAATTGTTCCTGGACCTTCAGGGACATACCTCCATTCATTACACATCCTCTTAGGTAGCTCTGTCCACCTCCTCCGTCTTCACTTTTTCCTTTTTTCTTCTTTTCCCCAAACTCTGGAATACTACCTTCTTTTACTTCAAATTGTATTTGCTGCCTACACTGAATAGAAATTGCTCTCTACAACCTTAATGATTTCACTAAACTTACTGATTGCTTTCTTAGACCCTATTCTTAATGAGCTCCTTTTCTCCTTGACTGATCTAATATAACATTACAACCAATTCTCTTTCACATCCTTCTCCTCCTTTGGCAAAGTGACTTTATACAAGTGATTTCCCCAGATAATTATAGTACTATGAAACTTGAGATTTGTTTTATAATCTAGTATTTGGTTTACTTTCACAAATCTTACATGTGTGCTTGAGATATGTACTCTGCATTTATTTGGGTACAATATTCTATACATGTCCACTAGATAAAGCTTTTGTTTAAATCTATACCCTGTCTGATTTTCTAAAAAATCTGTTTATCAATTACTAAAAGAAATATTAAAAACATCTCACATGATGACAGAGATGCCTATTTCTCCCTGTAATTCTAATTTCTCCCTGTAATTCATTTTTTTACTTTATATATTTTGAAGCATATTAATAGGTGCATACAAATATAGAAATGTTATAGTTATTGGTGAATTGAATCTTTTATCAGAATGGAATGAACCTCATTTTCTCTAATGTCTTTGCCTTACAGTTTCTTTTTGTCTAGCTAGCTTTCTTCCTGTATTTGTGTGGTATATGTATTTTCTATCTTTTTACTTTATACTTTTCAACATTTCAGATGTGTCACTTCAACTATCATATGGCTTAAGTTTCTCTCTTTAAACCATTCATCTTTAAAACATTGCATCTTTGTCTTTAGATAAAATATTACAGACAGAATAGTCTTTAGGGGTCCTAGATTTATAGAGGTATCATCCAGGAGACTCCCTATGTTGGATGGGCCCTGTGCCTTGTATCCTGAGCCCCTCTGAATCATAAAAACAGACACTCAAGTTCAGTAGGTTTAGCAAATTCCCTGAAGGTGAAAGCTGGCCATCAAAGCTCACCTTACCTTTCAGAATTTTTGCCTTAAGTTTTTTACCTGAATTTCGTACTCCCTTGATACCTTATGAATGCCTTCAAGAAGATTTAAAAAAAAATTATCAAGCTTGTTTGGTTGTTTTCAGCAGAAGAATCAGTCCAGGTACCTTGTTACCTCTACTGAACTATTCATTCTCCACTGGCTTCACATCATCTTTCCATTCCCTAAAGGAAGGGAATGTATCAAGGCTTACCATTTATGTTGGTTTATATTAAAGAACATCTCCTTTGGAGACCTCATCACTCAATACAGTCATTAACATTTATTATAATGACAATTACATCAGAAACTCTCAACAAACATTTGAATGTATAAATCTTGATGGCGGTAGGGGGAAAATGGGGAAGTGGCTTGGAAAAAGCCCTACAAATGATACATCCATACACAGGAATAATCTTACAGCCTACTACATCCTAGTTGAGACTTACTGCTCTAATGGCTACAACTACTTAAAGGCATCTGATTAGGAAACATACTTTTAGGACTAACCTTTTTTCTGAGATTCAAATCTACAATTTCAAAATTTTCCCTTGAATTCCTACTACTGACACAAACTCAGTATGCCCAAATCAAATGTCATGTTCTCATAAATTTGCCCTATTAGTTTCCAAACCTCTATAAAAGATGAGTCTTTGAGGAATCTAGATAAATCTTTGATTCATTTGGAAGATGTCCTTTTCCTTTCCCCACATCATCACAAAGTCTTTTCTGCATTCTTTATTTTGAGTCTATTTTACCCATTCCATTCTTTTTGTCATCCCCATATTCCATGTCTTTGCCAGGACTGTTGCAGTCTATAAGCAACAGATCTTGCTGCCAGTCTCTCCTGACTCCTATTCCTACTATATATTACTATAACTTCAAATACCCTTAAAATATTGCTTTGCATATCACTCACCCACTGAAATATATTTAATGGTTTACTATTACCCATACAGAAGTCTTCAATTGGTCAATAGCATATTTTGACACTTGGCTAGAGATGTAGGGAGGACAAGAGGAAGGGTAACTAAGAAACTATAGCCCTCAGCCAAACAAATCCCACGACAATCTTTTCACCTTGGATGTTTTAAACACTGGTAAGTTACTCTGGAATGGGATAATGCTAGAAGTGAAGAGTATGCCTCCTTTTCAATGGATGATGGACTTCTATTAAAATGCTGTGGCATTTTTTTTTGTCGATCTCGGTCTACTCATCGAAAAATTAAAACAATTGAGAAAAGGAAAATTAGAATTCTCTTCTCCGAATTTACAATCAGGACTCTTGATCATGTAGCCTTCACCTCTCCCTATGGGTTCTACTAGTTATGTAAGCCCTGCTCTCCCAAATTGACTGTATATTTACTGCTTCTTTAACAGGGCTTCTTATTCCTATTCCCACCATAACTCCTGTTCATGTTCTATTAAAAATTATCCTTGCCTATCCCAGAGGCCAAGCTCCTTCATAAAGCCATCTTCAACTGCCTCAATCACTGGTGACTACTCCTTTCTCTAAAAGCCACAGTTTCCGTCTATACTACTCATTAGGCAACTAGCATATGCTATTTACTATTATAGTTTATATTATCATTGACACATTTTTTTCTCCTACCATGGGCACTAAGAGGACAGACATTGTATCTAATACTTTATATATCTGACATTTAGAACAATACTATACACATAGTTTTTAATAAAAGCTTAGTGATGACTGTCCCTTTATGTAGTACTTAGTAGCTATTAATATATTTGGCTTTCTACAAGTATTCTACATTTATATCCCAGGAGCTCCTAGAAGCCAATAAAAAAAGAATGACAAAATTTTCTTTGTTTAACAGTAAGACCCCTACTTTTTAAAATGCTGAAAATGATATAACTTACCAATATTTTGCACTCAGGCTTAAACTGACTTTCCTAATCCAGGTGGAAGAGAAAAAAGCTACACTCAGGTTGACAAATGGACAAAATCAAATTAGTTTAGAAAAACAAAACCCCAAAATCTACCCCAGCCAGACTTCCTAGTGACTTATGAATAGGTTGATTATATCATCTAAACTGTAAGTCAACTATTTTATAACCAACTTCAGGAAATAAATTCATAACTGCCTAAACTGCTTTTCAGATGTATACTTACTGTAGTGTTTATGAAACTATGATTTTTACTTTTTACTGATTAAAGAGCTATGTGTAACACTGCAAAGTAGCCATTTATTTACATCCCTATTTCCCACACTAGCCTGTAGTGTTCTGAAAGATCAAGATTTATTCATCTTTTTCCTTGGAACTAATCGTTTGCTTCTAACTCAATAATTTATTGAATATATCAGAGTCACAACTCAGAGGACAAATCTAAAAATCCATGAATACAAATATCTTATTCAGTTACTAAAAGTTTTAAGACCGTCAATAAGATATGAATATCTTATTCAGTTATTGTATTAATTAAAAAGAAAAATAAGAGTCAGAAGGGAAAAGCCACCTAACAAACAGGAAGAAAAATTTCCAAGACTCCTAGGCTTTTAATGTTTGAGGAGGTGCAAAAGGCAAACAATATATCATTCTAATAAGGAAATAACCATAAGAGGCAGCAGGTGAAAAATTAAAAGCTAAACTTGGGGAAATGGGCATTTATTGAAACCTTAAAATCTGTACCCCCATAATATGCCAAAATAAAAAAAAATAAAAAAATAAAAAAATAAAAGCTAAACTTTATATTAACAATGAAAAACTCTAAAGCAAATCCTTGATGAGATTTTAGTGTAGTAATTCAAACATTGATAGCTTGTCAATATTATCCACATTTCAAAGGTAATACAAAATGAAATGCATATAATTACTGAATATTTTTGTTTAGTCTGCTGAAAAATTTACCTAGACTCCTGTATTTATAAGCTGACAAAAATATTCTAATGAGGATGTTCACAACAAAATACAACATTTTTATTCATTGTTTTTTCTCATAAGTTGCTTATATAGTTTGAAAGAAACTTGATAAACGAATACTTTTTTTAGGAATAATGAAACAGAAATTAAATACATATACCAATACATTTTGATATGCAACTTATAGAATTTCTCATTAATTTATAATTCTATTATATTCTTAGTTTGGGGGAAAATATTTGCTAGCCAGAAGAAAAATGATCTTCAAACATTTCATACCTGTTTCTGAGCTTCTACTTTTTGCTTTCTGGTTGGATCAATTGCATCTACCATCCATTTGATAGTAAAGTATGTTACTGCACCAAATATTGTCAAACGGAAAATTAAACCAACAACTTCATTCCGACTCAAAGGACGAGAAAAGGCTTCAGCATGTACCATCTTGATTGTTAACCTTAAAAAACAAACAGAAACGTTACTAGGTAACAACTATATTAAAACTGGAAGAGTAATAAAGTAGATTAAGCTAAGTAAGAAAAACTAAATTTTAGTCAAACTGAAGTATTACCTACCTTAAAAAAAGTGTTTCATTTTAAGGAGAAATGGATTTTTAAATGTTAAGTAAAGAAATACATTTAAGTTTCTTTTGGAAACTGAAGTAGATTAAGAACTAAGGTTTATTTAGTAGTAAAACTAATAATTCTATTTAAAAAATATAATAACTATTTAAGGGATTTATTCTTTCAAACAGTTTTAAATAACTATTTTAGAGAATCTAGAAAAGTATCAACTATAACACTAATCCAACTGAAGAAAGGCAGCCCGACAATACTTTACTAATGTTTATGGTAAGAATTTCTTCTATTAAGTGTAATATATACTAGGTAATTTTTGAGAGTGAAATTTAAACTGTGAACTGACTCATTTTTTCCTCAATTGTTTTCAAGGACTGCTTAAATTTAAACATGCCATTTTTTCAATTGGTAAGTGACAAATTTTTTGAGTCATCCTATTGCTCCCAACAACCCATCTAAATATGAAGCAATAGAACTTTCAAAAATTTTTAACCAACCAATTCACTACAATAGAGCACTCTGTACTTATTTTTACATACATCCCTGAGCGGCTATGTTAATCAAAGGTAGGCTTACAGAAGATATGCACTCTGGTCAAGGGCAATAACTATCCAGCAGAATAAGCCAGTTAGGGATGACATGACTATCACATTTTGGGAGATAGAATCCCAGCTTCAAATAAAGCCATTATACTCAGTTCTGTGCTGAGTGCTATGGGATTTATTAGAAAAAGAGAATATATGTTTTGTACTCACATGAAAATGAGTAAGCCAGAATTTGTACACATGGCTTGGAAACAGGTAAAAATTAGGTACTGCGTAGATTAATTAATCGATGGTCCTTCCAGCTCCAAAATTATTGTTTCTCTTCTCACTACTACTAAAGATTCTCTTTACCTCCCTCCCTCTAGAATAGCTCCAATTTTTTAATTCCTCTAATATACCTTCTCTCCATTCAAAACCATATACTCCTTTTCCCTAATCAAAAGACCCCAAAGCTTTTCCTTTCCAGGATTCCCAAGGATTCAAGACTATCCTGATTTAGCTCCAGAGTCAATATGAAGCATTTTCTCTCTCACTTCTCAGTGGGAACTCTCAGTAGCTGGAGTCACTATCATCTGAAAATGCCACAGGTATTTTACCTTGGGAGTACTCACCTGGTATCCTAGATGGGCCATTTCCTCTTATTCATCTAGGATTAGTCAAATTCTATCCAAACTTCAAAAAATCAACTTTATGTGCTTCATGAAGCCTTCCAGATCACATTAATCTTCTATATTTACTCATTATTACACCATCCTAAGAAATGTCTTGTTTTTAATCATTATTGAACTTTTAGGATATCTATTCTACTCAGCTAGAATTTAAATCCTTATAAACAACATTTATAACTTATCCATCTTTTGTGTGTTTGTCACACACAAACCAGAGGCTACTCAGAAATTATCTGTTCAACAGATAAATTGCAACTAAAGAAAAACCTCCCAGTTGATTATTCCAACAGTCACTGCCAGACTTTTGAAGGATTTTCAAAAGTCAAGGGTCTACACTTCTCCATTACCAGGAGACACTCACTTCACAATAACTAATTATTTAATTTAAACTTAACAATTAACTATCGAAAGCCTTCAACTTGGAGGAAGAAACTTTGGCCGAGTGATGTTAAGTGATTTGATTCATTCAACAAGCACTTATCTAACATTTATATATCACGTATACTGAATATACAATAAAGGCTAAGATACAATTACTTTACTCAAGGAACACTGTCCAATTATTATATTAATTATAAGGGGGGGGGGAGGAGCCAGAAGGAGAAGTCACCTAACTAAAATCTCGCTTCATATAACAAAATGGTGTGCTGCTTCCATCAGCATGGACTCCAAAAAATAGGTTACACAATACTTCATTTCTCACAGGAAGTGAAAAGCTGGCTTTTCTAGTCTTTATTCTGACACAGTAAAGTTGAAAACGAGGTTGGAATATGTGGTATCATTATGAAGGGTATATTCTTAGATGAAAATAACCCAATTTGGACAATCTAAGGGTTTTATTAACTTAAATGTATGAAAAGTGGTAGCATTCCAAAAACATTTTCATTTGTTTAGTTTGATTTGGTAGTAATCCTCTGCCATCTACTGGAAGTTCACTGAACTACATGGACAAATTAGGGCTATCAGCACATCCCAAAGTCAATAGCAAGAATTTTTAAAATCCTATAGAAAATGTCAAGATATAAAACCCCTGTTTATATATTTTCCTATTCAAAAATTAGGTTTATTAAGGCCAGCCACCTCTAAAACAGTTGTCCATTTTTTTAAATGACTTCAAAATTCTGAAATGAAACTGAAACTTGTTTTGTAGATTGTAACTGTATACACTTTATTGTACACTCATCTATCATTCATATAGTATTGATATATCTGCAATGTAAGACCGATACAGTAACAATACCATTACAGCAGAATATATAATAACAGTCGCATGTGCATACAACAGGAGGAAATGTATTTCAATCTTGTATTAAACATCTGTTTCAACAAAACGAATAACACAAAAATATGTACATACACAAAGATAGTGCTATGTACAACTAAGAAATATCGCAAAACACTAATTTATAGTTACTTGTTGGGCAAACATAATATCCGACAGTCTCTTTTTAAGGAGTTCTCCATTTCAGGGTGGAAAACTTTGAAATTGTACTACCTTGTCCATGAGCAAATTACTGACAGGTTAAAGGACGAGATTATAGCGTTCACACTGCAGTATTTCTCTCATAATTCACTAGTGTTTTTACAAAGGGTTTCCCAAACTCAAAGTCCCAGTTTCGAAGACATCAAGGCCCTCTGAATACAACCTATGACAATGAAGGCCTGCCAACCTTCACATAGAGGGCAGGTTATTATTAACACCATCTTCCTCGGCGAAAGAGTGCCCAGCCCCGAAGAACCACTTTCGCTTTTGCCCAAGGCGGTAGCAGCGCCAGTGCGACAATCAGATCTGGTTTAGTCCAGCTACCATCGCCCAGAAGTCTGGTTCTGAGATCTCCCAGAACGACCCCAAGCCCCCACTGAGCAGGCTGCCTACAAAGATTTCCTCGGTAACGGCACAAATCTCCGGGGCAGAGCCAACCGAGACCCAAGGGCCCAGGTTGGGCCGGAAGCCATCGCGAGGCCCCGGACGCCCTTGGAGGTTAATCCGCTCGATACTAAAGGCTGCGGGGCTCTGGGGGGCGGCACTGAGGTGGGCCGTGGGAGGACTGCGAGTGTCCCGGCTGGGTGTCCCAGATCAGAGCTGGTCCCTGAGGGAGCTCAGCGGGATCCTACACCTGTCCCTCGAGGTCCCGCAGGAACCTGCTACTCACCCGGGGGCAGAAACAGCGGGAGCAAAAGCCCTCGGGCGGCCTCGCGCAGGAAGGAAATGCCGCCTCAGCGAGAACACTTCCGGCGGGAGACGCGGCCCGCCCCCTCGCGCGAGCATGCGCGACCTGCGGCCGTTGGCGCGCAGAAGGGTGAAGTCTTAGTCTTAGAAATGGCCGTGGGACGCGGCCGGAGCGAATTGGCGCACCTGATACTTGGTACCTGCTGGGCGAGGCATTTTGCGAAGCCAGTGTGTCTGCAAGCAGCACACTAACCAACGCTCTGAGTTTAGCTACTGCGTGTCCGAGATTGAATTTGGGAAGGCGCGTATCACAAGAAGTCCCTGCCCTGCTCGTGGGTTCCAGGCACAACCCTGACAAATCAGGAGTCCTTTTGAGAGTGCAGGAATGCTCTGCGTGCCCCTCAAGGAGATTCTTCCCAGGCTCCAGCCTGAACCTGACTCACTCCCACCGCTCCGTGCAAACAACTCTCACGCTACAGCTAGCTCTATGTCTGTACCTTTTAGCCAGAGCGCAGACGCACATGACCACCCCCACCCTTCACCATCTGCCTTTCAGTTTCTAGGGTGAGCTCACCCTCTTCCCCTATTTCTGTGCTGCCAAACACCTGGGGGTGGCGCTTGAAAATCATTCAGCGAAACGACTTAGCAGCCCACTCAGGCAGGACGGGTAGCTAGGACAGAATAGGGCATCCTGTGACAGATTTTGCTTTTTGGTGACTTCCCTTTTTCTTTTACCCCTTCCTCTTTCCAGAATGAATGACCTGACACAAGAAGACCCAAGGGAACAAACCTGAAAGCCAGCACCTGAAAGCACAGACTGCTGGGAGGCAGATGGCATTAGACACTGTCCTCACATATAAGAGGCATCACTTCTTTAAGATAGAGGCGGTGAGACTAAAAGTAATGAGACAGTTCCCCTCCTCTTCCTCAGGGAAGCAGTTTGTGCCTCTCTATTTGAGGCATCGTCTTGGATGGCTAAGGAATTCTGCAGCCTGATTGTTGAATTAACAAATGCTACTAGTTACAAATTTGTATTGTAGTGAAGATAATACCTACAATTTAGTGGATGTCTACTAGGGGTCAGGCAATATGCTGTCATGTGCTTTACATCCATAATCTAAATTCTTCCCCCCAAAATCTTCTAAACTAGACATTTATTTTCTCTGTTTTTATAGATGAGCAAATTTGAAAGTTTAAAGCTTACAGAAACTTTCCAAAGTTCATGCACCTAGTATGTGGCAAAATTTCCTTGGAACCTAGATCCATCTAATTCAACCCTGCACTTACATTTTATCTTTGAGGTGGTACCTTAATACTATTAATAGTTAATATTTAAATTTTAAAATCTAGTTGAAAGAGGTAAGACCACGAAATGCCAAAAATCACAAGACTTTAATGGATAAGGATGGGATGAAAGGGATGTGTGAGTGTTCAAAAACACTATAATTAAGTTCATTGACAAGAATCATTCAGAATGGAATTTAGTACTGTTAAGTGTTTCATGTTTTACTTCCATACCTTTTTGTCTTTAAGGCTTCATATATGTATGTGCCTACATTCATAATATAATTTTTGAAAAATTATTGTGATGCTAGATATGGGAGTACTAGACTGATTATTTAGAGAGTGAAATAGATCCTTTGAGAAGAACAGGAAGATTATAAGACCAGGACAATGTCCACATACATACACTCAAAACAGAGGCCATCTGTGCTCAGCAGTCTTGAAAGAGACTCTAAAGTGGATCCAGTGGATGATTCCAAGCTTAGTTATTACTTGGGAGGTTCATAGGGACATGATTTGACATGGATAAAAGGGAGGAGTTACTGAAGGAAAGAAACCTAGGTTTTGTGGTACGCTAGGATAATCATGCTCACTGGTTAAGGAAAATGAGCTAAGAAATTCAAGATGGTAATGGATTTCATAATTAGTGAGTGAAACTGATTCACCTAAGAATTTCACCTGCGTTACTCTAAGAACTAGGGTGACCAATCTACCCAGTGTGCTTGAGACTGAGGGATTCTCTGGGATGTAGGATTTTCAGTGCTAAAACAGAGAAAGTCTCAGGCAAGTCACAAGGAACTGGTCACCTCACTAAGGACATCCTAAATGAATTCTGCAATGAGGTGGAGCTCTCAATATGGTTGCATCTAGTCTTAATTCATCTGCCTAATATCTAAGGTATGATTGCACAGGAATGGAAGTTGTTGGATAAAGTAATCAAGGCTTACCATAGGAGTCTACAAATAAGTGCTTTTTTTTGTTCCCTTTCCAGCGGTTTGGCTATAAACCGAATGCCTATACCTAACACCTTTTGGATCTAATGCTTCCACTTAGCAAATCCTTAAGAAAGTTCCTACATCTAGGCCCTAAGACATCAAATAACTGCCTTTTCACATACCTTTCCAGCAATCACCAAATCAACTAGGTTCTTCCAGAACAGATCAGAGTGAACATATGCTTTTCATCCCAGGATAGCTTTATATAATCCCTGGCAACACAAAATACCGTATTTGGCCCACAGTAGGGGCTCAATGAATAATTCATTATGTGTAATATTTATCAGGATATTATAACAACAGATTTTTTTGTAGACTTTATGGGCCGTCCCTCTTTGTTAGAATCAAGATATTAAAAATAATTATTATATTTATTATAGAAAATTGGGGGGTTTTTTGAAATGTATTTTTTGTGCCAACATGTGCTAAAATAGTTACAGCAGTTCTCCCCCATGATAATGAATTTTCCATTTTTATTATTGGATGGGGTGTGGTTAGTTTGCTTTGCAGCCAAGGTCAACGTATTAGATACCTGGTGGGAGGGGGGATTCCTAAGATTAGTTCTCAAATTTCATTGCATATGGATTAACTTGGAAAACTTGGCAAAATGCAGATTCCTGACTCCTAGCTTTAAAGGCTCCCATTTAAGTGCTCTAGGTTTGGGCCCAGGAATCTGCATTTTTAATAAGCATCTGGTTCTCTGCCATGTGAAGATACAATGTCTGCAAGCCAGGAAGGGTGCCCTCACCAGACACAGAATGTGCCAGCACCCTAATCTTGGACTTCCCAGCCTTTAGAACTGTGAGAAACAAATTTCTATTGTTTAAGCCTCTCAATCAATAAGATGAGATGAATTGGCTATAGGTAGTTTGAGACCACGCTTGGAGAAACTCTGCCCTAGTGAGTATAGACTTTAGATGTATTTTTGCAAAAATTTAGCCCAAAAGGCCTATCTGGTCATCTGAACCATTAAGCCAGCTGAGATACATTAAGAAATTAAGGCAAAGAAACCTCATGATGAGGTTTGGAATAAAATCCCTTTAGAAGGAAAAACAAATCTAAAATCCATGGATAAGTAAATATAGTAAACCTGACCTTATTCATTGCTCATTAGAAATAATTCACTTGACAGTGATTTAGAAAGAGCAGAACTTCAACAAATAGATTAAATTATATAGCAATAATTATGCCAGTAATAATAGTCATGTGGTAACTTTGATTGTTTTTAAAATATTGCATCAGAAAGGAATAATCTTAATTATCATTTTGACAAGATAAATTAAATAGCCACACTTGACCTTAGCCAAAAGACCAGGAAGCGATGGGATAAATTAAATAGAATGGGTGGAGAAAGAAAGGTAACCACATGAACACAAAGAAAGACCAAGATTTAGTGCTTGAAGCTCAAATAGAAAGAGTAAGGTGGAATCAAGGCAAAAATAATGGAAAATTAAAATTTCAACAGATAGGAAGAAGTAGAAAGATGAATTGATAGCTCCATTCTATAAAAAGCAGAGAGCTAAAAGAAGGACTACAGCAAAGTTCAAAGGACACGTTGTAAATCTACTTTCCATGCTTTTGTATTTTGAAACTTTACACATAATTTAAAATAAGTGTATTTTAAAGTCAAATATGTAAAATTTGAGTTTTACATATTCACTCAAATATGTAAAAATGAGTTATATATATTAATAATATTCCCATGTTATCAGGGTAGCACTACCTACAATCTTACATTCTATATAACCCTTTTTCTCACGCAGTGCTGCCAATTGTACATTTTCTAATTGTCTACCAAAAAACACTTTCTAGAACTTAGATATTTACTTAAAATATCTGTTGTTGTTTAGCTTTAATACAGTATTATTAAAATGATACTATCTGTGAAAAGTCAGGATTGAGCAACAACAGAATTGTTTAGAACATGTCTAATGTTACTATAGTCTCATCAAAAGTTTTAAGGCATAAATGGACTTTCATAAATGCCCTCCCATGTAGTTTCTTAAATTGAGGAGGAGGTGGGAAGGATTAGGTAAGAATAACAAAGATATAGAGTTACTATCTCAAATAGAAGAAACAGTAATTGAAATTTTAATTCTCAATTCCTATAACAACAGATTGATAGATGAGGCATAAAACAAGACCAGATGCTGTGGTTTCCAGGATGCACTTGGCTTCCCATCCTTTATAACCCAGAGCAATTTTTGCTCTAAGTAGGTCACTTGCTTGCTCTCATTTACCTGATTCTAGGAAAATGTCCTTTAAAGTATTTAGAAAATAGTATGTACTGGTGCTTAACAGTTTGAAAATTAAGACTGCGTAAAACCTCCCCTCCTACCTGACTCTATTAGGCAGAATAACTTGTAACCTTGAAGCATAACTAAAATGGATAAGAAGAATTTGAGACCTTTTATTTTCTGAGCACAAGTACAGTGAAATCTGTGCCCATTTTGTTAGCTCCCATAATTCACCTTGCTTAGCACTGGCACAGTACTCAGCTTACAAAATTATTGTTGAGGCCTGTATTCTCCTAGCAGATAAGAACTTCTTGAGAAAAGAGGATGCCAAGGACATAGGATGAATTTAACAAATGTTTTAGCTCATTGATTTTTTTTTTTTCCAAATCTGGTATATCTAACAGGGCTTTTCAGGCCCCATTCCTGTACGTTTAACCTGACTAGAAGGAAAAAAGAGGGAGGAAAGACAAATGATGCAAAGGTAAAGTATGTGAAACAAACCATTTTACTGACCATAATTATATTATTGCCCTGTCATGCTAAGTCTGCTCCTGGTTTGTCTATCAGAAACCAGTCTAATTGGGGTTAAAGAACATGGACTTTATACTTCTCCACTTCTATGCAAATTAAAAAAAAGATAAGAACATGGACTTTACAGACTTGGGTTTGAATTTAAGATTTGCTATTTGCTAGCTCTGTGATTTTGGACAAGTTACTTATGCTCTCAACCTCACTTTCCTCATATTTAATATGGGAAAAATAGCCACTGCAGTGATTGCTAGAGGTCATTTTATTCTTGAATTAGTATTAAATCTCAGTTTCCCCCAAAAAAATATATATGTGAAAAATAACAGTACACATGCCATGGACTTACACTGAGAATTAAATAAGACAATGCATGTACTGTGCTGAGCTCAGTGCCTAACACATAGCAAGTGCTCAATAAACATGCTGGTGTAAATACCTCAGATGATATTTTCATTATACTATGAATTGACATTCTCATTCCCAGGAATCTGTAAGGACAATCATCCTTTTTTATCTACTTTGTGTTTGCATGAGGACTTTACCTCTCAAGTTTTCAACCATGCATCTTGTCTGAAATATTTATTTTCTCTGACTTGTGAAGAAGCCGTGTCTCTCTATAACTTTGACTTCTTGATTTTCTCATTCCCAACCTTAATACATCCATCCTTCTGGCTGAGTCTTACTGATCAGTAGTCTATAAACCATTTATGATAGTTATATAAAACCTATAAGATTCCATCCTTATCACCCCAAGATAAGTTTAAAGTATTGATCAATCCATGAAAATAACTGTGGGTATTGTTCAGTTCACCATAAACCATCATTAATATTGACTGTTATTCCCATCTGTCTAATAACAGCCATGTATTGAGCATACAGTTCTTGGTCTCATGGAGTTTGAAAGACCAAAACATGTTAAAAAATTACAAGTCTTTGTAGAGCTGTTGATCTTTTTTTTTTTCTAAGCTAGAGGTCTGTCCCATATTTTATCCCCATTCATTTTTTGTTGAGAGAAAACTTCCTTACTGAGGTTGTTAGGTGGGTTTTCCACAAGAAAAAGAGATTAGTTCAGTAGATAAAAGTGAGATGCTGAACCAGACTTAAGATTTTTAGAAGTCAGTATACTTCGCATGTTATATCTTTTCTCGGCAAACCACAACCTTCATATTACGCTCAGGGACTATCATAACATCAGAACTGTTATTCTTCATATAAAATTTAACTCATTTGAGCATAAAACATATTTAAAAAAATTTTTTTGCTATATGCAATTCATAGTAACATTTCTAAAATTGAGGAAGGTTTACTGAGCAAAAGCAATGATATAGCCTGTCCAGATGCTGAATACATCTTCCGAAGGCAAAGACAAGGGCAAAGCTAGCCAACTTTGGGTGTTTAAGTATGAAATATCAACTAGGGCTTCTCCTTTCACCCAGAGGGGCCCAGCAGCAGTGCACTGGCACGCCAGTGTTAAAATCTCCCCTCCCCCGCTTCTTATTGTCATTGTTTCTAGAACCAGAAAAACTAAACAAAGGGGTAAGAAAACAAAAACAAAAAATTAAAAAAACGACAAAACCTATAACTTGAGTTACAGAAATACGGAAACAAATTAAGTATGCCCAAAGTCTCATTCAACTGCAAAATATTATACCTGATAGAGTTTCACAAACCTTTCTACTTCTAGCCTGCTGCTTATTGAGTTTAAATACTGGAACATTCTGAGAGCTTTGAATGCCCCAGTGAGACCTAGCGCCAGAGACACTCCCACACCCATTTCTTTATATTTTCTGAGTTCTCAGGTTAATGAGGGTTCAGAAAAGGGGACAGTAAAGGACAGCAAGGCTGACCCTCCCCCCACAGCGTGTGCTTCCCTTATAGTGTTTTGTAAAAAGCTGACATGATGCTAATAATTCTTAAAAGCAGCTTTAAAATTCTGCCCAGGTATTCTTGAACCTCTGGCTAGACTGTGTCTCACCTTCTACATTCCAATCTACCCATCATCTAGTCTTACTTATATTAGATAAACTGGTTTTCCATAGTTTGTCATAATATTGTCCTCAAAGGCTAGTATTTAAGAAGCCTTTTCCCTCCCTCCCTCCCTCATCCCTTCCTTGGGACTCTTAGAAATAAACAGGTAAAGCAGTTTAAATGAATGGCATCTAAAGCCATGAAATATAAGGATTGTGTTTTATTTAGTTTTGATGAGTAATCATATTTCTTTAGTTCAATGAATCACAAAGATTTAATACTTGAACCCACACTCATAGGCCAAAAAGAGAAGACAACTAAAAATCTCTGCAGGGGTACTCTGTTTCCTCTTCATTACATAGGAAGGTAGAGGCCATGACACCTCATTTTAATGATCATTCCCAAAATCTGTTTCTGTACCTAACACAGGAAACTGTTGCCAAACATATTGTCAGGTAGGTGAAGAACAAATATAGCCTCTGCCAAAATAGTTTGAATGATGCAGGATGCAGATTATTGCTGTTTTATTCAGTATTTAATATCATGTTATTTATTATAACTAAGTATTATAACATTATAATATAATTTATATATTATACTATTATAATACTAATTATATAAAATTATAATCCTAAGTGTTTATGTAATGATTTAATTAATAAAATTCCATTTTATTATTTATACAATATTTGAGAAATTCTGAATTATGACAGTATTAACTAAGAGGGGCCAGCTCCATGACCTGTCACATGTCAGACAGCTTTTCTGAGTGTCTTCCTCTGAAACTGAGATACAGACATACATCATTTTATTGTGTATTTCACTTCACAGATAATGCGATTCCTACAAATTGAAGGTTTGTGGCAACACTCCATCAAGCAAGTCTATCGGTGCCATTTTTCCAACAGCATGTACTCACTTTGAGTGTCTCTGTGTCACATTTTGGTAATTCTTGTGATATTTCAAAGTTTTTTATTATTATTATATCTGTTATGGTGATCTGTGATCAGTGATCTTTGATGTTTCTATTGTAATTGCTTTGGGGCACTATTAACTGTGCCCATATAAGACAGTGAACTTGAGAAATGTGTGTGTTCTGGATGCTTCACCAACCTCTGCCATTCTCCTATCTCCTTCCCTCTCTGTAGACCTCCCTATTCTCTGAGACAACGATATTGAAATTAGGCCAATTAATAACCCTACAGTGGCCTGTAAGTGTTCAAATTTAAGGAAGAGTTCCACATCTCTTACTTTAAATCAAAAGCTGGAAATGATTAAGCTTAGTGAAGAAGGTATGTTGAAAGCTGAAACAGTTCAAAAACTAGGCCTCTTGTACCAGTTACTGCAGTTGTGAATGCAAAGAAAAAGTTCTTGAAGAAAATTAAAAGTGCTACTCCAGTGAACACATGAATGATAAGAAAGTGAAACCCTTATTGCTGAAAGGGAGAAAGTTTCAGTGGTCTGGATAGAAGATCTAACCAGCCACAACTTTCTCATAAACCAAAGCCTCATCCAAAGCAAGGCTCTAACTCTCTTCAGTTCTATGAAGGCTGAGAGAGTAAGCTGCAGGAGAAAAGTCTGAGGCTAGCAGAGGTTGGTGCGTGAGGTTTAAGGATAGAAACTGCCTCCATAACACAAAATTGTAAGGTGAAGCAGCAAGTGGTAATGGAGAAGCTGCAACAAGTTATTCAGAAGATCTAGCTAAGGGAATTGATGAAGGTGGCTACACTAAACACAGATTTTCTTTTTTTCTTGAAAAATGAGGTCTTACTCTGTCGCCCAGGCAGGAGTGCAGTGGCGCTGTTGTAGCTCATTGCAGCCGTGAATTCCTGGGTTCAAGTGATCCTCCCACCTCAGCAGCTGGGATTACCAGTGGGCACCACTGCACTTGGCAACAACAGATTTTTTATGTAGACAAAACAGCCTTCAATTGGAAGAAGATGCCATATAGGACTTTACAGCTAGAGAGAAGTCAATGCCTGGCTTGAAAGGACAGGCTGACTCTCCTGTTAGGATCTAATGCAGCTGGTGATTTTAAGTTGAAGCCAATGTTCCTTGACCATTCTGAAAATCCAAGATTCCTTAAGATTTGTACTAAATCTACCCTGCCTGTGCTCTAGAAATGGAATAACAAAGCCTGGAGAACAGCAATCTGTTTACAGCATGGCTTACTGAATATTTTAAGCTCACTATTGAGACTTACTGCTTAGAAAAAATGATTCCTTTCAAAATATTACTGCTCATTAGCAATGCACCTGGTCACCCAGAGCTCTGGTGGAGATGTATTAATACAAGGAGATTAATGTTGTTTTCATGCTAGCATAACATTTGTTCTGCAGCCCATGGGTCAAGGAGTACTTTGGACTTTCAAGTCTTATTATTATTATTATTTTGAGACAGAGTCTCGCTTTGTTGCCCAGGCTAGAGTGATTGTCATGGTGTCAGCCTAGCTCACAGCAACCTCAAGCTCCTGGGCTCAAGCAATCCTTCTGCCTCAACCTCCCGAGTAGCTGGGACTACAGGCATGTGCCACCATGCCTGGCTAATTTTTTCTATATATATTAGTTGGCCAATTAATTTCTTTCTTTTTTTTTATAGTAGAGATGGGGTCTCACTCAGGCTGGTTTTGAACTCCTGACCTTGAGCAATCTGCTTGCCTCGGCCTCCCAGAGTGCTAGGATTACAGGCGTGAGCCACCGCGCCCGGCCTCAAGTCTTATTATTGAAGAAATACATCTTGTAAGGCTAAAAGCTGCCTTAGATAATGATTTCTCTGGTGGACCCGAGCCAAGTAAATTGAAAACCTTCTGGAAAGGATTCACCATTCTAGGTGCTATTAAGAACATTTGTGATTCATGGGAGTAGATCTAAATTATCAACATTATTATGAGTTTGGAAGAAGTTGATTCCAACCCTCATGGATAAGTTTGAGGGGATCAAGACTTCAGTGAATGAAGTAAATGCAGAGAATAGCAAGAGAACTAGAATTAGAAAGGGAGCCTGACAAAGCTTGGGTACTACAAACTATTTCTGTCATAGTTTTGAGGGAAAGACTCACATGCAGAACCTTATTTTTATTAATAAATGTAAAATTCCTTATGAGTCAGCAAACATAATTTGGGTATTTAATTAGTTGTAATGTCAGGTGGCATACCTGTAAGGATATGGATAAGAACCTAGTACATTTTATTTAATGAACACTTATATAGCACTTATTAATAATAAGTGCCAGCTACTATACTAAGTGCTTTACATATATTAACTCATTGTAATTTTCATAATAAACTTATGTAGTAAGTACTATAATTATCCTCAGATAAGGAAACTGGGGCACAGAGAAGTTAAGTAATTTGTCCAAGGTCAAAGACTAAGTGGTAAGACTTATTCTGATAAAAGATTGTATTCAAATATTAAAATAGCAACACATCATGTTTTAATTTTATTTTTAAATTAACATACAGTAAAATGGACTCTGTATGTGTATATAGTTCTGTGAATTTTTATACAAGAATAGATTCATATAAACACCACCACAGTCAGATACAGAACAATTCGATTACTCCAAAAAACTCCATTGTGTTCCCTTTCTGTAGTTGTTTCCACTCCCTCCATTCCAACATCTGGCATCCACTGATCTGTTCTCTGACACTATGATTTTGTCTCTTTTGAGAACGTCACACAAATGAAATCATACAGTATTTTAAGCTTTTGAGATGGGGGCTTGTTTTACTAGCATAATGTGTTTGAGACTTATCGAAGATGTTGGATGTCAATAGTTCATTCCTAAATAGTTCCCCATTGTATAGATATCCCACAATTATCCATTCACTCATTGAAGGACATATGGGTTGGTTCCAGTTTGGGGTAATTGCGAATAGAGCTGCTATAAACATTTGAGTGCAGGTTTATGTGCGAACAGAAGTTTTTATTTCCTTAGGGTAAATACCCAGGAGCAGAATTGCTAGGTCATATGATAAGGGTGTTTTTAACTTTATAAGAAACTGCCAAACTGCTTTCTAAAGTTGCTGTATCATTTTGCATTTCCAGAAGAATATATGAGCATTCCATTTGTTCTTCATCCTCACCAGCTCTTAGTATTACCAGTAGTTTTTATTCTAGTTATTGTTATAGGTATCTCATTGTTGTTTTAATTATTACTTCTCTAATGACTAATGATATCAACATCATTTTATGAGCCTTTCATGAGCTTATTTGCCATCCATTTATCTACTCTGGTGAAATGTCTGTTCAAATCTTTTGCCTGTTGTTGTTGTTGTTTGAGACAGGGTCTTGCTGTGTTGCTCAGGCTGGAGTGCAGTTGTATCATCAAAGCTCACTGCAACCTCAAACTCCTGGTCTCAAGGGATCCTCCTGTCTCAGCCTCCCGAGTAGCTGGGATAACAGGCATATGCCACAGCACCCAGTTAATTTTTTCTTTATTTTTTTTAGAGATGGGTCTTGCTATGTTGCTCAGGCTGGTCTCAAGTGATCCTTCCATCTTGGCCTCCCAAAGTGCTAGGATTACATTCGTGAGCCATATCATCTGGCCTTGCCCATTTTTAAGTTGGGTTGTTTGTTTACTTACTGTTGAGTTTAGGGAATTCTTTATATAGTTTAAATATAAGGTCTTTGTCAGATATGAGATTTGCAAGTATTTTCTTCTAGTTTGTAACTTGCCTTTTTATTCTGTTACCAGTATCTTTTGTAAAGTTTTAAATGTTGATGAAGTCCAATTTATCTTTTTTCTTCTTGTGTTAGAACTCTTTGCCTAACCCCAGGTCATGAAGATTTTCTCTAAACGTTTCTTCTAAAAGTTGTAGAGTTTTAAATTTTACATTTAGATCTATGATACATTTTGAGTTAATTTTTGTATAAGGTATGAGGTTAAGGTTGAAGCTCAATTTTTAGCATATGAATGTCCAATTGGTTTAATACCATTTGTTGAAAAAACTTTCTTTTGGACCTTTGTCAAAAATTAGTTGGCCATGTTTGTTTGGGTCTGTTTCTGAGCTGTTTCTTCTGTTCTACTGATCTAAGTGTCTGTCCCTTCACCAAGACCACACAGTCTTAATTAATCTAGCTTTATAGTACAATTTAAAATCAGGTAGTTTGATTCTTCAACATTATTCTTCTTCTTAAAACTTATTTTGACTTTTCTAGTTCTTTCAGATTTCTACACTAATTTTAGAATGAGCTTGGCTATCTTTACAAAAATTCTATTGGGATATTTAATGAAATTTAGTTAAAATATTGATGAGTTTGTGGAATTGAATCTTTCAGTTCTGAACATGGTACGTCCCTCCATTTATTTAGGTCTTCTTTGATTTCTTTCATTAATGTTTTATAGTTTTCAGCATATACATCCTATTCATGTTTTGTTAAATTTATACCTAAGTAATTCAGTATTTTTGAAACTATTGTAAATGGTATTGTTTTAAAAATATCAGTTTCCAGTTGTTCATTGCTGGTATATAGATATAAGTTTTTTTCTGTGTTTACCTTTTGTCCTGTGATCTTACTTAACTCAGTTCTAGGAACATTTTTGGTAACTTCTTTAAGATTCTATGTAAACAATCATGTCATCTACAAATAAAGACATGTTATTTCTTCCTTTCCAATCTGTATGCCTCTTATCTTCTTGCCATTAACTAAAATTCCAATATAATGCCACTGACTAAAATTCCAATATAATGTCAAATAGCAATAGTGAGTGAAGGCATTCTTACTTTGTTCCTGATGTTAGGGGGAAGCATTCAGTCTTTCACCACTAAGTATGATAGTAGATGTTGGTGTTTTGTACATGACCTTTATGAGGTTGTGGAAGTTCCTTTTTATCCTATTTTGCTGAGCATTTTTTATTGGAATGGATGTTGAATTCTGTCAAATGCTTTTTATGTACCAATTGATATAATTGTGTAGTTTTTCTTCTTTAGATTAGTAATATGGTGAAATACATTGATTGATGTCTTGAATATTGAACCAGCCTTCTATTTTCAAGATAAACCCCACTTGGTCAGTCATGTTGTGTAATTATTTTTATACACTGCTGGATTCAATTTGTTAATATTTTGTTGGGGATTTTTATATCATTGTTCGAGACAGATATTGGCCTACAGTGTTCTTTTCTTGTAGTATCTTTATCTGGCTTTGGTATCAGGGTAATCCTGGTTTTATAAAAATGAGTTTGTAAGTGTCCCCTCCTTTTTTTATTTTCTGGAAAGAGTTTGTGTGGAATTGGTATTTCATCTTTAAATGTTTGGTAAAATTCAACAGTTTAACCATCTGGGCCTAGAAAAATTTTTTGAAAGGTTTAAAACTATGACTTTAATTTCTTTATAGTTATAGGATTCTTCAGGTTATCTAATTTCTCTGTGAGTTTTGGTAGTTTGTTTTGAGGAATTAGTCCATTTCACCTCGACTGTCCTATTATTGTGTTTAGTTGTTTTTAGTATCCCCTTATTATCTTTTTTATTTAATTTTCTTTTTTTTTCTTTTACTAGATGGGAAGATCAACCCTTATTATCTTTTAATACCTACTGTGTCTAAAGTGATATCCTCTCCTTCATTCCTGATATGGTAAGTTGTGCCTTTTCTTTATCTTACTAGAGATTAGTGAATTTCATTGGTCTTCTCAAAAAAACAGTTTGTTTCATTGATTTTTTTGCTATTAATTTTCTGTTTTAAATTTTAATCATTTCTTCTCTTAGCTTTTATTTCCTTTCTTCTGCTTGTGGTTTATTTGATTAACTTTTTAGTTCCTTAAAGATCAACGATGTGAGACCTTTCTTCCTGGAGCTCTGTCTGTGCCCTCGTGCCTTTTCTGAGTTTCAGGGTACCTTACATCTAGACCAGGGGATTCTGGTAGGTAAAAAACAAAAACAGAAAATTCATTGCTTTTTCAGTACTACCTTGAATTCTTATCTTCTTCTCTTGTCTGCCTGCTACTTTTTATCTTCCAGAGTCCTCTAGTATCTGTTTCATGTATTTTTATCTAGGATTTTACAGCTATATCAGTCAAAAAGACAGGGTGGAGTATACTCACTCCATCTTACCCAGAACTGCAATAATACATCATTTTTAAATTGCTGTTATAGACTGAATGTTTGTGTTCCCTCAAATACATAAGTTGAAGCCCTTAGCCCCAATGTAATGGTATTTAGAGATGGGGCCTTTGGGAGGCAATTAGGTTTAGATTAGGTCAGGAGGCTGAGGCCCTCATGATGAGATTAGTGCCTTTATAAGAAGAGACATTAGAGAGCTTATTCTCTTTCTCTTTCTCTCCTTCTCGTGAGGACATAGCAAGAAGGTGGCTATTTGCAAGCCAGAAAGAATGTCCCCACTGGGGAACTAAATCGGCTGGCACCTTGATCCTGAACTTCCCAGCCTCTGAAACTGTGAGAAAGTACATTTCTGTTATTTAAGTCATTCAGTCTATGGTATTTTGTTATAGCATCCTGAGCAGAGACAATTGCCAAAATATTCATGAAAAAAAATCCTGACACTACACACTGTGTCATTTTTCCCAATTCAATCATGACTTGTTCCCTGTAATTCCACCTGAACATGTTTTGTGCAAGATTTTTTTTTTCTTTTTTTTCATAGTCCTGCACTCAGCTGACGTGCAAGATTTTTTTTAACAAATTATACTTAGCTGAATTTCCAGACAGAAAAAGAAACTCCCCAAAACTAGACTGGTAGCTTTGGAGATCCAAATAGTTTTGTATTATTTGGATGAAATATATTTTTGATATGTCTTTTTATAATTAATTTCTTGCTTGGTTGTTTGGTCCCTAGGTCCTTTGACTATATTTGCTTCAAGTTTCTCTAAATAATTTCAAGGCTAACTGACCTAGGTCCTGTTTGGGCCAATACCTTTTAATTTTTTATGTCTCTCAGAAGCTTTCTTCAAAGAGAACATATGGCTAGGAGCCCAAAGACCATTTCTTTCACATACAGCCTATTAACATAAGAATCAAGGGTAGTATGGAATACATATAATTGAGTAGAAGGAAGATAGAGGAGTTTGTTTGTCTTCTGCAGATATTAGTTTTATTTATTTATTTTATTATTATTATTATTATTATTTTTGAGACAGAGTCTCACTCTGTTGCCCAGGCTAGAGTGAGTGCCATGGCATCAGCTTAGCTCACAGCAACCTCAAACTCCTGGGCTCAAGCAATCCTACTGCCTCAGCCTCCCGAGTAGCTGGGACTACAGGCATGTGCCACCATGCCCGGCTAATTTTTTCTATATATATTAGTTGGCCAATTAATTTCTTTCTATTTATAATAGAGATGGGGTCTCGCTCTTGCTCAGGCTGGTTTCGAACTCCTGACCTTGAGCAATCCGCCCACCTCGGCCTCCCAGACTGTTAGGATTACAGACATGAGCCACCGTATCCAGCCCAGATAATAGTTTTAAATGCATTCATATCTGATAATAAATAAAACATGAGGAATTCATGACCATCAAAAAAGTAGGAAAAATCTTCATAATTGGAGTGGAACTGGACTAGAACTGGGTTATTTTCTCAAGTGGGACGAAGACTCTAGATCAGTGAGCTTCGGTACCTAAGGCAATTTCATGTTATGCTCTATTGCACTCCACCAGATGGACTTCTTTCTTTTCTTTTTTTCCCTCCCAGTAATCTTTTCCATCTCATCTGTTCTCTTTTCTTTTGCTCTTCCTCACAGTTCTTACATCTATGAATTTGGCTTAATCAGTAGAGTGGGATTTACAGAAGCTGCTGATCCTTGAGGGGTGTACCTTTCCTTTATCTCTCTGCCTCTCCCATCTCTTCCTTATGTGCTGCGTTCCTGTTCCTGGTCTGCCTCTTCATATTGTTCCCACTGCCACGTTTTTACTCTGCCACTCTGGCCAGAAGACACAAATTAACTGTTTGGCTCACTTGGGAAAAAAAAGAGTTATTACTGATCCTGGTCCTAGAATAAGAACACTAGTTTTTTTCTCCCACACTAGAGTTTTACTGAAGTGTTACATTGTTCCAGAGTTAATTGGGGTAATCTGTGAAATTAAACCTCAATTGTGATTTGGCCACTTCCATTTTAGAGAAAATTAAAAGAGAAATATTAGAAAGTAATAATTGGTAATTTCATCAGAACTTGTTTCAAAGAAAATAGTTAGCCTCTTAAATAAAATTAGGAGTCCACATTCAGGGGAATTTTGGTTATTTCCATGTACTGCAACTGAGGAAGAAGGTACATTACTGTAATTTATAATTTAAAAAGCCTCACAGACTTTTTTTTCCCCCTTCAGGGAACAGAATATTAACTAAACTTGACATTTCATCTGTTGATATTCTTTTTGGGAAACTAAAGATGGAAATAGTGATTAAGGTCTTTCTAGATAATGTCCCATACCAAAATGTAGAAAGAAAAAATTATATAACATGCCATGATAATGTAAAGTAACATATGGATGTTACATATGGATAATAACATATGATGTTATTGTCTCAGGACTATATAATATCTACCTAATAAGGGTATTTGTATGTTTGTTTATATTTGAACAAGTATATAGTCTTTTAGTCATTGAGTTTATAAATACTTAACTAAGCATCTCTCTGCGACATAAGAAACTACTAGGCATTGTACAAAGGTACAAAAGTTTGCACAATAATTCTTTTTAACCTCCAAGAAACTTCAGTGGAAGTAGGAGCAGCTTAACTGAAGTGAAAAGTAAGATACAATTAGGAGCTGTCAGGACTTATACTAGAGGGTCTATATGAAGTTTTGATTCTAAGTTTTACTGTACCTTCTGACAACTGTGAATGAGGCTGGCTCTTGCAGGGCCAGTGCTGGTTTGCTCTTTGCACAGGTCAGCTGGGACTAGCATCCTTCTAGTTTGTAAGAGACATATTCTGGGAAGCTAGGCTATGGGGGAGGTGACATCTTCTGAACCTGGTCCCGACAGAGAACTTTAAGTGGGTGGGGGAAAAAAAGGTTGAGTGTATTCTTGCTCATGTCATAATGGTGGACATGTGACTTCAGAGGAGCATGTGAAAGGTCAATGTGATTGGGCTGTTCTCACAATACCAAGCCTTGTCCATAGAAAGAATGACTCAGAGGAAAATGCAGTTTATTTAGACACTTAATTGAAATATCGGTATGACATAAGATTATATTAATAAAAGATATAAAACTATTTCAACAGTACTGTTTTATTGGGGCATCTTAAAGAACTAGAGGAATCCTTATTTTCTTATCTCCTATCTTATACTTGATGATAGTTATTCATGATTCATTCAGCATTTACTGAAAGCTTATCATATGTCAAACAATATGCCAGGTGTCAGAGATGGCAGCAATTGTCAGAGTACAAGAGAGTAAGATATAGTACCTGTACTCAATAATAATAACAGCTAATAGCTAAGACTTACATAGTGCTTACTATATGCCAGGCTTATTCTAAGTGATTATACACACACACACACACACACACACACATACATGTAAAATCTCCATCAACTCTATGAATTGGCTACTGTAAAAGAAAATAAAAATCTTAGGACCTCCATCCCCAACCTCCTATGTAAAAGGGAAGGTCAAGCCTGAAGGCTGAGTTGTGCAACACTTTCTTCCAAATTAATAGCTCTTACTAACATTATGCATTAGGCAGATTCCCCCAGGAAGATAAAAGGCCTCAGGCATCTACAAGGACTGCCCCCACAGATCATTCCTGAGGAAATTCTTTGCTGGCCTCCCATAAATAAGGACATGTCAATTGTAACTTTCCGTCTGCAGTCTAAGTCTAGCTCCTGAAGTCTATTGGATTCCACACTGATAATGTTGATTACAAGCGTATCTTCCCAGATCCAGAACAGACACAAGGTGAGATCAATCATTCCTTTACCGACCCAGAGATGTCTGCATAATTGATTCTTCCTTTCCTTCCTTTTTCTCTTCAAATATTCACTTTATATAAACTGTAGATTTCCTGGGCTCTAACTAAAGTCTCACAAGAATATAACCATTCATCTTAGGGCTCTTTTACCTATATGCCATCTCCCCTTTAAGGAAATATGTAAATGCCAAACCTCCTGAAAGCCTCTTTGGAAATAAATCCACATATGTGTTTACTGTTCACATTTTTCCTGGGCATGCCCTAAAGCTGGCTTAATAAACCATAATTGATTGAGATCCTTGCCTCAGTCACTCATTTCAGTTGTCATTATTATTATTATCCCCGTCTTATAGATGAAGACACTGGGTACAGAGAGATTAAGTAACTTGCCAAAGATCTTACAACTGGTAAGTGGCAAAAAAAAAAAAAAAAAAAAATTGAAAGCAAACAATCTGGCTTTAGAAACTGTACTTCTAACCTCTATGCTAAATGACCTCCCAAGGAACTTATGATCTGAGTACACTTAATAAGTACCTCCCCTTTCAGCATAAGATAGTGGGAAATGGTGGATAGAGAAGCAAAATGTGACTCAGGTTGTATTTCCTGTAAACCCAACACCAAGAACATCTGACTCAATAAATGCTACACTCTGCCCCAAAGAGAAGAATGGAGTCATAGGGAAGTATTAAACACAACAAGAAGGTGGAAAT